CGGGGGCGGGGCGGGGGGAGGGGCGGCAGGGGAACTGGCAGTTGCTGCCAAGGTGGGGGAAGCGGTGACGGTTGGGAGCAGGCCGAGTTCGGCCCGGCGGGCGGTTGGGTGTTTACCTTGATGCACCGCGACGCTGCAGCCGTGCCCGTCGCAATAAACCAGCGGGTTCTCGGCCCAGCCTCTCTCGTCTGAGCAAACGCAACAGCCTCCAATCATCTCCTTCATACTATGGGAGACCTCGTCCTCCAGTGACACGGGCCGGTCGCTAGAGACCATCTAAGAGGGAGTTGGGGGGGACCATTAAAAAACACATGCAAGCCAATTAGTACTTACCCCCGCAGAGCCACCCGCACCCCCGCTCCCTTCCCTACGTCCCCGGCCCCCGCCCGCCGCTCGGCCGCTCGCTCACTCGGGCTTTGCCGCTCAGTCACTCACGTTCCGCACAGGAGTCAGGAGCCATGTCCTTGCTGACTCCCCCCACCTCCCCTCCACCGCCTCCTCCGCCTCCTCCTCGTCTTCTTCCCTCCCCACCTCCACCCGGCCGCTAACGCTGGAGCCCGGAGAGGGCACACATAATCAAGTAGGCCTCCGCACAGGCGCACTGGGGGGGCTCCCGCTGGGCCAGGGGCAGCCAGGGAGGGGAAGGGGGCTGCGCTTCCTCCTCTGAGCGTCACTCGGCGTGCGCGCCCGCCCTGCGGCCGGCGTGAGGGAGAAGGCCCGGGAGAGGCAAGGCCTGCGTGCGCGCCGCCGCGCCCGGCCCGCCGCCGCGGCCTACCTCCCGGCCCTTCCCCTCCCCCGCGCTGCTCGCAGCCGCCGAGGTGTGCTAGGGGGTGGGGGCGAGTGGAGCTGGCGGCGCGCTGAGGCCGGAACGAGCCAACGAGAGAACGCGGGGGCGCGCACGCGGGGGCGGGGACGTTGGGGCCGTCTGCTGCAGCGCCGGTCGCGCGGGCTGAGCGTGCAAGTCTCGAACGGGCCTCAGAGGGAGGGAGGAAGGGGAGGAGGATGCCGAAGACTGGGAGGGAGGGGTCTTTTATCAGAGGAGCTGGAGGGGACTGATTCACCTGGAGCATCTCCCTGCATTGAGAACCTACCTGCCTTTTCCTCAAGAGCTGGCCCGTGGGTAGCAAGGGTAGGGCAAGTATGCCAGCTTCCAAGAAGGGTGCAGTGAAGCATGGCTTCCTGCAGTTGGCCGCGCTAACTTCACAGTGCTGCTGAAGCTTCTCCACCCATTAAATTCACATCCTGGACTCTACCCAAAGTTCACGCAGTGGAAGTGCCACCAGATCCGCAGCGCATTTACACACCACATTGGCCCCAGTGATAAATGAAAGCGCATCACAGACTGAAGGTCAAAAGCCTGGGTTAGGGTAATACTCAAAGAGGGAACACCAAGGATACCTTCAGGTTGCTGTGTAGGAGTACAAATGGTTGTTAACCAAGAATTAGCAATATAATGTGATGATCTGGAAAATGCAGTAATATGATACCAAAGGATGAAGAAACCCAAGTTCTAGTCAGTCACCAAATGATAACACCATGCGATAGGGGAGTCCAGGTTTGATTGAGGATTTCTCTGATCTGGCTCTGTACTCCAAATGATTTAAGTTGCAGAAAGATGGGAGCTCACTCCTCACATACAAATAGAAAATGGTTTAGGCCTATCTGAATAGATTAATTAGCCAGATACTACGCAGTTTTGGGCTGTAAAATCTTCCACTGTTGCCCTGTCCCCTATGTATCCTTGTAAGCCCAAGATTGATTTTCGGCAAAAAGTGTCTAATTATGAAAGTTTAGCGTGAAATAGGAATATACCTTGTTTAAATGACAAGCATACTTACTAGGTGAATTCATGGCTTTGGTTAATAACTTGCGGGGACAAAATGGTTGTTTAACAGGAATTAGCAATGTAATGTGAAGATCTGGAAAATGCAGTTACTCAGTGCTAAAGGATGAAGGAACCCAAGTTGTCCAAGTCAGTCACCAAAAGATAACTGGTTTAAAAGCATTCCAGAGGCGCCTGGGTGGCTCAGTCGTTAAGCATCTGCCTTCAGCTCAGGTCATGATCCCAGGGTCTTGGGATCGAGCCCCGCATCTGGCTCCCTGCTCCGCGGGAAGCCTGCTTCTCCCTCTCCCAATCCCCCTGCTTGTGTTCCCTCTCTTGCTATGTCTTTCTCTGTCAAATAAATAAAATCTTTTAAAAATAAATAAATAAATAAAAGCATTTCAAATGTTCTCATAAAGAAAAAAAATGGTAGCATGGCTGTTTTTTCCATTTCAAATTAATTGCTAGAAATCTATTTAAGAATTATAATAGATATTACACAATGCAAGCATATGTTAGCAAATATACTCAAACATTCTAAAAGCTAAGTGAGATATCTACAGTAATGGAAATCTACTAAAAGTGTAAGGGAAAATGTACACTAAAGAGACACACAAAAATGAGAATTCTCTTTTAGCTATTAGGTCATTAAGAGAACATTACAAAAAGATTACATACTTATGCAATGCAAATTCTTTTTTGGGGTATGGTAACAATTAATAAATTTCTAAACATATAATAATTATGTTCTTAAAATGCCATTGATATTTGTAAAATTAAAACCACCTTCAAACAAAACTGTATTGTTTTGTGTGTCTTAACTGTATATTTTATCCTTACCCTTTTAGGAGGGATACCAGTTCAACATCCAATTCCTGCTCAGGCTCAGACTTCCAATGAAGAGTAATTTTGAGTTAAAATCAATGTGAAACTTCCCTTCCTAAACACTGCAGTCAAACCTTAATGCACTAAATTATTCAAACATACATTCATTTTATTTTTAATGCACTGGAGCCTAGTTCTTTTAATAGAATTAATTTATATGTTAAGGATTGGTACTTTATCCTATTCTGTAACACTTAATAAAAGAAATATAGGTAAACACTCACTCTTCAAAATAAAACACATTCATCATTCATAAGAGATTTTTGAAATTTAGGAAAATAAAGAAAATACACTATTTCATAAGAACAGGCCTATATACAAAAAACAGCATTTGAAGCAGAAATTTTATTAAAGATGTACATATAAATGTTGACAAAATATGTCAAATTATTTTTAAAAAGTGATATTTAACATGTTAAATGTTGAGGTATGAAAATTATAAGAAAAAATATAATGGGTATAAATAGGCCACTCTAATTTCAACTCACGTACCAGATATAGGACTTTTCTTATATAGCAAAAGTGTAATATTTAATATATTTCTATAAAATATTAAGTGAAAAGGAGAATAATGAACATTATAAAACAGTTCAGTTAATTATTTATTCATGCAGTAAATATTTATTGAACATTTACTGTGAGCCAGGGACTGTTTTGGATACAGGAAATATAGCAGTGAGCAAGTTATATTTGTCCTTTGTGTGAGATATATACCCATTCACACATATCTATCTATCTGTATATATATAGATACATACATACATATACGTGTATATGACAATTGACTGAATATGCTCTCATATCTTAGAATGGATAAAACATGTAAATTGCCTTAATTGTTAAAGTTTAAGTAAGTTTTTAAAAATACATGGTAATAGGGGAAAAAAGGTCCATGGGATTTATAGAATAACTTCATAGAAAAGGACAATTTCAATCTTAAAATAATGTTACCCTTTAAATCTGATTCCTCATTCTCAAAATACCCTTTGAAAAAGTATATCTAGTACCTGTAGAATAAAACAAAAGCCTGTTGTCCCCAGTATTCTTCACACAACAGCAGCTAACTCAGTACTGGCTCATCTATTTCTCTGAACTAATCATCTGAAGCAAACCACAAAAAACTCAAGTAAAGTATTTTATGATGTAACCTCTAACCCTACTATAATGGGAAACTGTATTTTTTTTTTCTTTATGGGTAATATATCTTCTTGTAATTTTCTTTATTCCTCAACCTAGGGACCAAATTTTTGGATTTCCTTTTCAATAATCATTTATGTAAGTAGATAGTATGAAAGAAATACTTAAAACCAAATTCAGTTCATAGTTGGTATTGCTTATATTTATCCCCCTTTTAAAATAAAGTTTTATTTCCCTTCTGTTTGTGCACATTATATTTAGTCTATTATATCCATTGTTGAGGTATATTTCTATAATGAGGTATAGAAATTGAGGTATATTTCTATAATGTCAAGACTAAACGTGTTTTCCTTAACTCAGATCCTTGACTTCCACAAAGTGTTTAAAATTCTGTATTGGCTCTGATACTAAGGTTTTAAAACAAAAAGCAATTGATACCAAGATTTTAAAACAAAAAGCAATTATTAGATTTCATTCATCTACTAAACCTCACCAGAAACTATAATCTTGTTTCTAAATAATTTGGAGAATGCAAAAAAGACAATTTCTTATGATCTGTATAAACTTTCAGATATATCCTCTTTTACATAAAGGAATCCCTGAATAAAATTTTCCTTTGTTCAGTTGGTACCCAAAGTTTCCTGCTTTTCACATGAAAAGTTTATTATGAGCCACGTATGTATTTATGCTAGTATGATAAAAATATTGAGGTACTTCTGAAACTAGTTTTATTAATCTCACAATAAGTGGGTATTGTGTCTTTATACTAGATACAAACACACACATGGCACCTATATTATGGAGTACTATTAGAAATTTCATTCAAAGGTATTCATTTCAATTATGTTTTCAATTGATATTCTGTTAATGGCTTTGGGGAAATTCCATTTAATGAAGCATGTTGATCTTACCAGGCGATTTTTTTTTTATTCACCATACCACCTAGCAAGTCTCTTGCACATAGTAGGCCCACAATAAATATTCATTTAATGTACGATTCTTGTGTTTAAAAGCTCATTGCAATCTGAGTCTTATTCTTCAAAAAAAGACTATTTTGTATGTTCAATTGAACTAAAATCTCTAAGTAATGATTAGCAGAAATTTTCACATAAATTGCTCTCTTTAAAGATTTTCAATAGTTGAAACTAATATTGGTGAAGAGTTTTTATTTACCGGGTAGTTTAGAATTGTCTATATTTAAGTAGCCCTCAAATGTTAACCACCTTTTCATGTAAAAGTCATCATTTTCTTACAAAACAGACTCTTAACTTAGAACCAATCACAATTAATATTATTGTGAGATACATGTAAATGTTGGAAAGTTTAGGTAGGTAATTCTGAAATTTAAATTGTATATAATCTAAATTTTAAAATAGTTTTAAGAATCAAGGCCTAATATTTACTTTAAAAGGTTTGGCTTGGTTAATCTTGTGTTTGGTGTCAGAGCTACTCTTTCTTTCTGCTATAAAATTGATATATATTGGTTGTATTTACATTTTTGAGTAAAACACCATGTAATTACCAGTAGAAAAATAATATCTAAAAGATGCCTTTAGATCTCCTAGGCATTGCATAAACCTCAATAACATTTCAGAGTTGGACTATTTTTTTCCATGATCCAACAACACTTAAGGGTGTTAAGTGTCTGACTTTTCAGAGAATCATCAATATATTGTAAGAAGTGTGAGGTCCATGTTCCCATTTTTTTACTGACACTGAAGATATGCATTTCCGTTGAATTAAAGTGTGATTAAAGTGACCTTTTTAGGTGTCTGTTTAGAGGAGACAATAAGGTTCTGTAGGTGAAAAGATTCTGGACACAGAAAAGAGGAAAATCAGTTTTTGCAATGGAAGAGACCTTGAAAGAAATGAAACAAATCTTGGACTTAAAAAAAGAAGAAGAAATTA